ACGCCCGGCCTTCCCAATTCTAAATTTAAGCTCAACCAGGGGCTTTGGGAGAAGTGTTCTGAAGCTCACACAGAGCATGTGTCAGACCAGGAGGTTTCCTTGAGAGCAAAAGGGTTGAAGGGGAAGTTAACTTGGTTTTATGCTACCCTCCTTGCTGCAGTTCTAGCCATGGCCAGCACCAGTGTTCTTAATTTTGAGTGCACATTGGAATCACCTAAGGCAGCATTAAAAACTATTGATGTGGCTGGGCGCAGTGGCTCACGCTTGTAATCCCAGCACTTGGGGAAGCTGAGCTGGGAGGATTGCTTGAGGCCAGGAGTTCAAGACCAGCCTGAGCAAAAGTGAGACCACCACCCCCCAAAAAATGAGAAAAACTAGCTGGGCATGGTGCTATGCACCTGTAGTCCCAGCTACTCAGGAGGCTGAGGCAGGAGGATCGCTTGAGCCCAGGAGTTTTGAGGTTGCTGTCAGCTAGGCTGACGCCACGGCACTCTAGCCTGGGCAACAGAGCAAGACTCTGTCTCAAAAAAAAAGAAAAAAAATATTGGTCTAGGGTATGGCCTAAGCATCTGGAATATTTTATTATTTTATTTTACGTTATTTTAGACAGAGTCTTGCTCTGTCACCCTGGGTAGAGTGCAGTGGCGTCATTGTAGCTCACTGCAACCTCAAAACCTTCTGAGTTCAAGGGATCCTCTGGCCTCGGCCTCCCAGGGTGCTAGAATTACAGGCGTGAGCCACTGCACTGCGTCTGGAGTTTTAAAGGCTCCCCAGGTGATTCCAAGTCAAAAAGCCACCACTACGTGTGGTGCTGGAGAAAGAGATCCAGCTGGGTTTGCGTCCTGGCTTTGCCACTTACCAGTTGGATGATCTTGGGCAAGTTACTTCTCTTTGAACCTGTTGCCCCGTGTGTGAGAATGAAGTGAGATAATCCATGTATAGCACTAAGCCAGAAAGAACAGGTAGTAGTTAAGGACAATTATTAATGAGTAAGCAGGAGAAGGCTCTGTGGCTCTCCTGGGAAAGATTAAAACTTTCTGAACCTGTAGAACAATGGTTCTCAAACTTGTATCAGAATCACCTGCAGAACTTGTTAAAACACAGACTGCTAAACATTTCGTTTCCCTGAAAGTTTCGGGTTCAATAGGTCTCGTAGGGGCTCTAGAACTTGCACTTCTAGTGAGTTCTCAGGTAATACAGATTCTGTTGGGCCAGGGACCACACTTGGAGAATTACTGCTGTAGAGCAGGGTTTCTCAACAGCATCACTGATGACATTTTGGAGCAGTTATTTCTTTGAGCATCTCTGGCTTCCACCCACTGTATGCCCATAGCACTCTACCAGATATTTCCAGACATTGTCAAATATGCTCCAGGAGGAAAAACTACCCAAGGTTGGGAACCACTGCTCTAGAGGATCTAAGTTAAAGAAGAATACAAGAGTCTAGGTGGGCTGCAGTGTCAAGCGAAGAAAAGAAATCAAAGCTAGAAGAAAGGAGGTTTGGTGTAAACTAGGGCTTGATGCAGAGGGTGGGTGTCCACCCACGGCTCTTTCAGAGAAGGATCATTATGTGTTTGGGGTACAGAGAAAACTGACCAGAGGGCAGGCTCATAGCTCAGATTTGGCTTCATTTGGTCCTGCAGGAACAGGGGCTGTCAATTTTGAGTCTGGCCCCTCCCTTCGTCCTGGAACATCAGCTGTCAAACCCCAGAGTCTCTTGGAAAAAGCAATCCTGTCCTAACCCAAATGGGGTTAGTCTTTCTCTAAGGCTCAACTGCCCATAGCTCTAAACTGCTCAGAGCTCTCTCTTTTACCTCAGTTTCCCATCCTCCCATCTTGAGATATTAATAAGCAGCAGACTATCAGCAAGAAGCAAATATTCTGTAGTTTTGCTGTGAAGAAGCAACTGACAAGAGCCCTGACCTGTCCTTTCCAGCTGCTAACTAGACCAATCCCTGGAAAAGATTATTCTTGTCTTTGAAACCAGCAACTGTGCCTATTGTCTGTTTACTTGGAACAGTAGACAATGTCGGGAGGCCTGGATCTGCCTCCCTACAAGATTCACTCTTATGTAACTCCAGTAGGCCCATGGTCTCTGGGGATTACCTTCTCTCACCTGAAAAGGGGTCAACCATCCCTGCAGGCAAGCGAAGATAGCATCATGTTGTGTTTTGATGGGTTGGCCTGTAAATAAACTGTTTAGGGGGTTAGGAGTGGATGGGATTAGGGCTACAGGCTCGGAGAAAAAATAATTGTCAGGGAGGCCCCCAAAATGGAAAAATGATCTGAAAATCCACCTCCCTGAAAATGCAGCCCACAAAACTCAGCCATGCAGTGAAAACAGAAATTTGGCTCTTTAAGTGCCAACAGTATTAATTGCTAGACTGTGGAAGTCATAAAGGGAAATTAACTGAAAACCAGAGATGCCATCACTCATTCGGGAGCAATCTATCTCTCCCAAAGTGAGAGTACAAGTTGTACCCCCTGGGGATGTTTTATACTCAAATCGTTATTCCCTAGGCTGGGGCTTCTGTTTTCTTCAAGTTCTAAGTGGTGCTGCTATTTCCTGCTAATGGCTTCAGCCTCTTGAAGGCACTTGGGAGGATTGAAGAGGCGAAGGTTAGAGGAAAACCCGTGCAGCCTCCAGTGCCCTGGTTCTTCCCAGTCACTGCCAACTTCTCAAGGGATTGGTAGGCTTTTAAAAACGCAATGTCGAGGTTCAAAGCTTTGTTTTATCCCAAGGCAAGAAAGATGAGGGTGTCTGGAGGGACTGGACCAATTTTCAATTATAGGTTGAGTATTCCTTATCTGAATTACTTGGGATCAGAAGTGTTTCAGATTTTAGATTTTTTTGCATTTTGGAATATTTGCACATACATAAGGAGACTATCTTGGGGATGGAACCCAAGTTTAAACATGAAATTCATTTTATACACATAGCCTGAAGGTAATTTTATACAATATTCTAAATAATTTTGCCCATGAAACAAGTTTTGACTGCAACGCTTTACATGAGGTCAAGGGTGGAAGTTTCCACTTGTGGCATCATATCAGCACTCAAAAAGTTCTAGGCTCTGGAACATTGTGGATTTTGCATTAGCATCCCTAATCCGAACATAAAATTTATTTGTTTCACATACACCTAATACACCTAATACCCATAGATGTCCACGTTAGGGATGCTACCTGCATGTGGACCTGGTGCTTAAAAGGGATCAGGAAGTCACCTGTGATAGTGCTGGAGGCACAAAGAGCAGCTTGCATGCCATCTTTGGTCAAATCTCTCCTGGTAAAGGGCATAACCATATGCGTAATTATTGCTCAGGTCAGAAATCTGAGTCACCATTCCCTGTGGAGATCCCACCACACTTTGTACATTAATGGCTCTAAGCAGTCCTGCAGTAGAGAAACCAACTTCACTGTATCTAACCCCGTCTTTCTCAAACTGAGTTGAGCATGAAACCCTTATGCCCCAAAGTACCTAACTATCTGGGAAGCAGTGTTCTGTGGAATACACTTTAGGAAACCTACACCTGCAGGACCAAGTATATGAAGTACAAGCTCTCCAGGATTTGGCTCCTACTTAATTCTGCAACTGCACCGTTTGCTGCTCCCCATCTCTAACCGCACTCAGGTTCTTTTGGTTCATGAAATGTGCCACACTTTCAAGCTTGTGCCTGCTGTTTCTTGGAATGCACATGTTCTTTGTCTACTTGGAAAGCCCTACTCATTCTCCAAGTCCCAATCTAAGCATAATCACATAATCTGTGAAACTTCAACTCTCCTAGGCACAATAAATTGTTTCCTCCTGTGTTTCCAGTACACTTTATTCAAACTTCACTGACTGCATTGAAAGTAATTGGTTTCAGAGCTTTACCATCCTGCTGGTTCCTTCATTAATGAGTTAAATAAATCTTTGGCATGTGCTCACTTAAAAAAGTAATTAATTTGAGATGGTCTTTTCTACTGGTTTGTGCATTTCTCAAGATGGCAAGGACAGTACCTTATTTATCTGTGTCCTCAGCAACAATTATCACGCCTGCCACATAATAGAGGTTGGTGTGTTTGTTGAATGATTACGTCCCAAGCTCAGGGTAATACCCTCTCTGTACCTTAAGATAAATAGATGATTCAGGTTTGTTAGCTAAAAGTATAAAACCAAACATGCTCAGAACAGGTTGGAGCTGTGAAGACCACTTTGTTCTGACAGGAGATTCAGAAAATACACACGCCACTCTCCAGTGCCAGATGGGATTCATTAGTGCCTGTTTGTGTGCTGCGCAGAGTTACCCAGTAATCCAGGGAGACAGTAACCTGTCTTAGTGGCAGAAGGCAACTATGAGTATTTTTTAATGTCCCTGTTAGTTTATAAAAAGACAGACAAGTAAGCAGAATTATAAAAAAGTCTCAGATAGTGTCATGACCAAGTTCCACCCAAACATTCCCATATTGCATTTGAGTTTGATGCAGCACTCTATCCAGTGTCATTTCTACCAGCTGAGACTGTTCCAAATCTGCTCACCTCAGGAGCCTGAGCATAGGATTGTGGTTCAGAAAGTGCTTTTGGCAGCAAGCAGAGTAGACACAGACTCTTTTCATTAAGGAGTGTGTGCAAAGTACACGAGGATCAGGTTCTTTCAGACTTTATTTATCGCCTCTTGGCTGCTCTGCTTCTAGTAGGAGAGAAGTATTTGTTACTGATAAGTAATTATTCTGTTTGTCGTTTTCATGGAAGTAAACCTAAAAACACAGAAAATGGGGGAAAAAATCCCAAGTGAACAGCTTCTTGGAAGTTTAAATGTATCCTATCCCTTGGCCATGTCATGCCCCACTGATGTATAGCAATCAGGCATTAAAGAAAAGACAGCAATAAATCCAATCCACATAGCTCTTGTAAAAAGGCATCTATTTGGCTTTTAATATAAAATGACTCAAAGAAACACAGAAAGAACATATCATACAAGCCAGATGCTGAATTAAAAAAAAAAAAAAATCCCAACCAAGAAATTTGTCATATTCCCTGTCTTCGGCCCGGATTAGAAAACAGGAAACTACAAACCAATCAGTATCTGTCCCTTCAAAGAAAATATATTAAAAAAAAAAAGTCCCTGAAATCTGGCAGGTGGTTTTTAGAGGCCACTGGGAGCTTGCTTTAATCATCCTGGTGAAATGGGATAGAAGTGTTTTTTGGAGTATGGCCATTGCCTCCTGTTTCTTGTTAGTGATGGTCATCTCAAGGGAGGATGCCAGCCTGGGCAACATGTGACGCCACTTACGCAGTCTGGGGTCTCAAAGTCAAGCAGCCTTGTAGTCTTCCACCCCGTATCTTCACTGAATCTCACCCATGTACAGTCTCTTGTCACTGGATGCTGAGAGAACTGAGGTAAAAAGAACAGAGAAGATAACTGGAAATAATGTAGGCTCAAGGAGACTTGGTGCTCAAGGGTTCTTATGTCAAGAGTCAATTTTGGTATAAAAGAGCAATTGGATTTATCTTGAATTCCCCTCCTAAACGCCATCCACAGGAAATTGTAGCCTGGCTTTTCAATTCAAGCCCTCTCAAAACCATGAGGGTGACTGACTGTGCTATGGGAAATACATTATTAGGCTCTAAATTCTTTTTTTTGTTTTTTATTTTCACATCCGTAAGCAAGAGAAAGGATCTAAACCCTGATTCCCTTATCAGTCAAACCCCAAGAAAAAGACCTTCCTGGTCAATTCTTGAAGAGAGGAATCTACGCCTGTGCCAGTCATTTTGTAAATGTGCTTCTGCTTAGCCCTGGAGAAAGTTACATTTTCTCCTTAAATTCAAGTCTTAAATTATTTGGTTTAGCTAGCCAAAAAGATTTTAATTGAAATTTATATCTATATATAAATTGCATTTGGATAAAAGAAACATATTCTTTTATCCAAATGTATCACTGAAGCATAGACTTGATGCAAGTAAACTCAAAAGAACTAGGAATAAATAGACTAACCAAGCTCCCTTAGAGATGGAGAAGAAAATGAAACTTGCTCTAACTCTCACCACTTAAGACAACAATTGATACCCATAAAGATTGTTTGCATGGAAATTCACATAAAACAGATACTCACTTTTGCCTCTGTATTCCCAGGGCCCCTCCCGGGAGATTCCCAGTTTCCCTTTCCCCATCGTCAGGCCAGACTTACTGATCGGCTCGTCGGGGTGGAAAGCCACTTCATTGATGGAGCCAGCATGGCCAGGCAGCTTATACAATATTCTCCTGCTGGTGGTATCCCACACATACACAAACCTGCAAGGTATCAGGAAGAGCAAGGGTAAAGCCTTCTAGAGCTAGGGGTAAGGCAGAGGCATGGCTTTTTATGGGAAATGGAAGCAATAACTATTTATTTACTTATTCTTAAGAAACAGGGTCTCACTATGTTGCCCAGGCTAGACTTGAACTCCTGGGCTCAAGCAATGCTCCTCCCTCGGGCTCTCAAGTAGCTGGGATTAGAAGCAATTATTTATTCACCCCATATTTACTGACCTGTGTTTTAGCTTTTAGAAACTAAGAGTTTGAGTAACGACATGGACCCTGCCCGTGAGCAACTAGGTAGAGAAATAAGAATAGCTAAAAATGTAAGTATCGCTGGTTTTTTCAAACACAAGCTTCTGAAACGGGAAAGACCATGGAGAAAAAAAGAAACAGTTTTTCATATGGACTCCACACAAAAACTTTCTTTAAGGAGGCTCTAATAGAATTAGTCTACAGTTAACCTTATAATCATCCAGAAATGTCTAAAAGGTAACCCAACTTATGGCATGTTGGGAGCCTAGGTTGTAGATACAGGTGAATTTCTTAGTGTTGTATTCAAACAGAGCCCAAAGAAGGGATAGGAAGCTTCTGCTGTATAAACATTACCCAAATAGTCACTTGAGCCCAATTTTCCACAGAATTAATAGGCAGAAAGAGTACTGAAATCTAGAATGGGAAGGGGCAAACAGAAATCAGCTAGTCTAAAACTTTCAATTTATAGACAAGAAAAGTAGGGTAGGCTAGACATGGTGGCCCACACCTGTAATCCTAGCATTCTGGGAGGCCGAGGTGGGAGGATTGCTTGAGCTCAGGAGTCTGAGACCAGCCTGAGCAAGAGCGAGACCCCATCTCTACTAAAAGTAGAAAGAAATTAGCCAAAACAACTAAAAATAGAAAAAAAATTAGCCGGGCATGGTGATGCGTGCCTGTAGTCCCAGCTACCTGGGAGGCTGAGGCAGGAGGATCACTTGAGCCCAGGAGTTTGAGGT